GGGTATAAACATTAAATGCACTTCCTAAAATCATACAAGTTTGAGAATTTTTGACAAAAGTACGAGTAAATTGGTGTAATTAATGCTTAATTTCTTACATTTCCTTTTTTAGTTTCTACATGCAGAGTGCTGCACATAGCTTGTTGGAGTTTATGGTTTAGTCACATTGATTTAGTTAGTTTATGTTTGTTTCTTTAAATTTAGGAAGTTTGTTATTAGCATTAGTGTTGAGTTGACTCCCTTAGTATTTTGATGATTGACATAACAAAACAAACTTTGACTAATGATGTGTGTTAAGTCTTGGTAGAACAAAAGATTCAGGTACAAGCTACATGTTCCGGAGTAGGAACAAAGGGATTGGAAGTCTTGACGTTGATATGCAAGCTTTCAAGAAAAACAAGCAAACTCCAGTACTTAGGATTCTATGTAAGCACAAAAGAATTTAAGTGTGTGAAGGAACTTATAATGAACTTAGTGTTCCAGAAGGAACTTAATGTTTTAATCAGAAAATGATTTCAACGTAAGTTTTCAAATCAGTTTTAAAGTCCTTGAAATAAGGATAGAATAAAACCAGTTTTGAAAAGATATATTTTGCAAATAAATAAAAGATAAATAAATCTTTAATTTAAAAGATAAGTTTATTATTTTTTAAATTAAATTATTATTTAAAAGTTTTATCTTTTTAAATATCTTTTTAATAATAATTATCTTTTTAATAAATATCTTTAACTGATTTTTGACCAAGTAAAATTGGTTGCCTAATATTAAGGAATCACGTTGAAAGCCTTGAGAGAAAAGTCAGGGAAACCTTACTTCCCACTCTCTGATCAACGTTCAACAACTTCCAAGTTGAAGTGAATGTGGAACATGGGAAGAGTGGGGAACAAGGTTGAGACTTTCCATCTCACTATAAAAGACTTGCAACGTACTCTGATTTTGGTGTGGAGCAACAACGAAAACATTCAGTTCATAGAGTTTCAGAGCTTTCACGTTTTAATATAAAAGAGTGATGAGTTCCTTCCTGCCTTAATCTTCTCAAGTGTATTAGAAAATCTTGTAATTACATTTGTAATTGGGATTGGGGTTTGTGAGAGTTGTATTTGTGAGGCTTGAGTGAGTCTATCACAAAGTATAAGTGATTCAGAGTCGAATCACAGAGAGTGAGAAGCTACGGTTGAGGGACCGTAGTTGGGATACTTGAGTTCCTAGAGGAACTTAAGTGCAGGCTGAATATTCACAGTTGTAAATGAGTTTTTGCATAGTGAAATAATTAGAAAAGCCATCTCGTGTGTTCTCTCTCTTTATACTTAGTTTAATTTCCGCATAAAGTTCATAAATTTTTAAAGACTACAATTCACCCCCCTCTTGTAGTAGACATCATTCTAACAATTAGCTTGTATATATAAATACTCCAAGCTTGTACTATTTTCATAAGACAACAACAATAATAAAATGTAGTCTCATCTTATCCTCTCATCTCTCACGAGCTCTAAAGCTCTTCAACTATGCCAATCTTCTTCATCATTTCTCCTACTTTCTTTCTTCCTCCTTCCCTCAGAATCACGAATTCTAACATAGCTTTTTTATTTTTGTTTTCTTGTGATGTAGCAGTGAATTTTGTAGGAAGTTGGATTTTTGTTTTCCAATAAAATCATTGTATAGAGAAAGATACAAATCATGCGGAATGAATGTTATAGATTAGATGTTCTTGGGGAGGGGTTGAGTGTTTTGAATGGATTGGGGAGGGAATGAATGTAAGTGCAAGATTAGGCTTTTGGAGTTTTCTCCTTAAAACTGACTTCTCCGTTTATATATTAGATTAAACTAGTTTGTGGCTCGGGCGATGCCCCGAGTTTTGTTTAAATACAAAATTAAAAAATTACTTTAAATTTAAAATAATATTTTGAAAACAATATCTTAAATTTAAAATAAATTCAAAAAATGGGAAAAAATATATGGGAATTGAAAGAGAGATGTAGTAGTATACATGTAAATATTAATCTGTGTAATTGCTTAACTGGTTAACTGGTTTTTCATCTAGCAAATTACTCGTATCATTTATGGAATCAACAACCATTACAAATTAAATTGTAATTTATTGTGTAATTACTTAGAAGTTACATTCTAGAGAAAATTAAATACGAAGGTTACACATATGAATTTTTTTTAGAGTGATGATACATAGAGTGACATGTAAGGGTGACACATAGCAATGACATGTCGCCAAATCATATTGATGCAACGGTGACACATGGCATTACCACGTTGTCCCTTTGTGTTTTAATAATATTATTATAGATGTCCTTAGTATTAATGTTATAAAATAAACATCTTTTTATTATTAGTTATTTACCAAACACTTTTAAACAAGCAACTAATATAATTGATTAGTCAAACAAATTAATACAATCAACTAGCCTTACATGCTAATAACTGAATACGTGAATTGCTAAACCACGTCCGGTTTTTACCGGGTAACGCCCGTATTTTAACATGACTTTACAAACATGCCCCCTTATAAAATTTACCCTATTTCACCTTCACTTTCATTTTCTTTAACCACTATCTAACTTGTTACCCCACCAACCACCAAACAACCATCACCTACGAACAACCACCACGTCATATCTTTTTTTTAAAAAAAATTGCTTTACTCTTCACCAATTAGCGCAAACGGTAAATGGACGAGTTTAAGAAGCTACGAGGCCACTGGAAAGGTCGTCGGAGCATACGGAGTCGGTGAATGCTCTGAATTTTTGTCGGTTTTTTTTTTTTTTTTTTTAATTTCGTAATCATAGAAGGCGCCTTAAATTTAGATTCACCCTTGGAACATTCTAAAATTTTAGGCGTTCAAGGGGGGAAACGCCTGAAATGTTAGAATGTTATGGGGGGAAACGCCTGAAATTTTAGAATGTTTCGGAGGAGATTCTAAAATTTCAGGTGTTCCTTCCATGGAACATTCTAAAATTTCAGGTGTTTGTCTGGAACGAGTGAAGTTAAAAAAAAAAAATGTAAAACAAGTACCTGATCGCCAACCCCCTTACCTTTTCGATTTCTTGACATTTGTATGACATATTAAGCAGAAAGTAAAATATAGTTGGGGCTAAAGTCAAAAGATATAGCGTCTTGGCCTGTACCTAAAGCCCAATCATGATATCTATTTCAATGTAGATGTCAACTAACTTAGTAAGATCGAATTCCACCTATAGTCCTACTCGTATATCATAAGATTGTATATATAGATACATACGATAGTGAATGGGTTGCGATATAAAGAAGATGGTAGTTTGGTGGACAGTAAAGCAAAGAAAAAAGCACAACATTTGCTGTAACACCTTGAGGAGATTGGCCTTCCATAACATAACAAAGTCATACACTGTCTACAGAAAGCACTGCCAATAATCTGCTTGTTCAAACCATTAGAGTGCCCAAATATAAGGTCACCGTCTTTATAACTTAGTACAGAACACAATGAAAAGAGCACTAATAAATACAAGTATTAGCTTATTCATACGGCCATACTATCAGTTAGAGGTGGGAATGGGCCGTGCCGGCCCACGGGCGGCACGGGCCCAGCAAGAGATTGGCCCAGCCCGACACGAGCCTTCCAGCGGCACAGCACAACACGATGACCGATAAGTAGGCCGTGGGCCGTGCCGTGAACACAATTTCAAGAATCCGGCACGAGCACGGCACGAACCCGCGGGCAGCACGGTAGTTTGGCCCGTTAGCATGGCACGCCAGGCACGGCCATAAAATAAAATAAATATAATAATAAGCAAAAATTGCATGGAAGGTCCTTTTAAGTGGTCGACCTTGTGAGAAAGGTCCTTTTAAAAAAAAAGGTGGCACAAAAGGTCCTTATGGCGTTTTGGTTGTGAAGAGGGTCCTTTGACCAAATTCCGGCGTTGACCTTGATATTCCGGCCATAAAATGTCACGTGCCGGTCACGTGACCTCTTAAATGAATTTTTATTTTTTTTTCTTTTTTTCCTTTTCCCTCTTCTTCCTCGATTTCCCCTTTCCCCTACAATTTCCCTCCCTTATTTCCATTAAACATCTTGACATGACTAGTAGCTACCACCATTAATGGCGAATTAATGGTGAATTGCAATCTGGCAGGAGATTAACTAGGTGTTCTTTCTCTTTGATAAGTCTTAATTCTGTTGGTGTTCTGTCTCTTTCAAAGTAGTGAATTTTATTTATTTTTTTTTCCAAAATTGCTAATTTTTTCTGTAAAAATGGTGAAGAGCAACCCATAACGGAAAAGCAAGTCAAAAGGGAAAAGCAAATCCAACATCTTTTCATTCAAGCGCGTAACTAGGCTCAGGTACGTTCTTCCCAAAATTTTAATTTTGTTTTTACAAATTGCGTATTAAAATACTCAATGTTGGGAAAAAGACAAACAATTAGGGTTAATTACCTAATTAAATATGTGTACTTAGTGGTTGGATGTTGTTACTGTGTTGAATTTGTTTCCTTCTGTTGTGTTTTTTGCATAAAATGCGCAACCCTAGATTTGCTTTGTTGATTGTGTTTAATTTGGTACTTAGATGCTAATTTATGTGATTGGTTGTTCAGGTTTAATTGCCCAATTGAAGTGTTGAAAATGTCGAAGCCAATTAACATAAGACTATATTATGGTGGTAGTTTTGTGACTAGAAAGGGGAAAACAACTGATGAGTATGGTGATAGTGAGTTTTATGGTCCGTCTTTGCACCCTAATGTCGAGGAAGTGTGTTACTTTGAATTTGTGGACTGGGTTAAGAAGGAATTAGGGTACACTGAAATGGGTGAGTTATGGTTTAGGAAGCACGGGTACAACTTATACACTAGTAGAAAAAATGAATTAGGCACCGCACCTTTTGCACCGGTTCTTGAAAACCGGTGGCAAAAGAAATGGGCGGGATAAGCTAAATGACTTTTCGCACCGGTGCGAATTACAAACGAAAAAAAGGGAGAAGAGCGATTTGGCACCGGTTCTAACCGAAACCGGTGCGAAATGTTAAAAAAAATAAAAACGGTTTAAGGCTTTCTTTCTTCTTTTTTCTTTTTCCCCCTGCTTTCCCTCTTCGTTCTGCTCTTCTCTTTCCCTCCCATTTTCGCATCTCCTGCTCTTCCTCCCAGCTTTCCCTCTCCGTTTTCGCATCTCCCTGTGTTTTCGCATCTCCTTCTGCACTCTATTGAAGCAGCTCGCTCTTTCTCCATTGAATTGGTTTACGCGCTTTCTCACTCCATTGAAGCAGCACCTCCATTGAACCAGCTCTGGCCTCCATTGAACTCACTTCGAGGTAAGATTTTTCTTGTGGTTGTGCGAATTCATTGATTTTCTTTCGCAATCTAGGGTTTGTCGTTGATTTTCTGTTCAATTTAGTAATTTTAGGGTTGTGGTAATATAGGGTTTGTCATTGAAGCGCGCACGGCTACATCTTTACCCTAACGGCCTCCTTGTCACGGCTACACCTCCACCGATTCTGAGCTTTCTCACCTCCATTGAACCAGCTTCGAGGTAAGATGATGGTTTTACCTTTAGTTTGCCTGATGAACCATGATAAAGAATTTGGAAATATCGATCAATACAACATCTATGCACCACCGTGTAATAACTCTGATGGCTCTGCTGCTGTTTCAATCCACAGGAGCATGAAGTTGCCTCGCCGTCCACATCATGTAAGTTTGAGTCTTACACTGTTATACTTATACCAGAATATGTCTGAAAATTGTGTTTCATCAATGAATTTTTTCTTTGATTCCTGTCAGATTTTGAGAAAGTTATCCGGGTATGATCCATGTACCGAAAAGTATGCTGAAAAATACTACAATAGGCCAGACGTGCAGAATGGGAAGGCTCTCCACGCTAATACCACTAAAATTCCGTATAAGTGGACTGCCTGCAGGAGAAAGTTGTGTTAATCTGATGGTATAATCAGGAGAAAATTCAAATGAAGTTGATGGTAATATTACATTATCTGTTTTTTGATGAGAAGGTTTGGACTTAGTAGAGAGCGGAGAATGTTATAGATAGGCGGACTAGGTTTAGACTATATATGTTCGGATGTTCTGCAAAGCATTGTTGTTTTAACGGAGTTTGATCTGTATTGATAATGTGTTCTCCTTGGCCCTAAACTAATTTTTAATCTTAAGAAAATGCGACATGATCTGTTTCTGTGCATTACAGCAAGTTTTCGATTTCTTCTATTACTTTCTTGCCTCATGGAGAGTTGACAGTTAATTTTGTGTATCAAGTAATCCTCCTGTAGTTACTGTCATACGGAGTACATCTTTTCCTTCGCTTGCATACAGAGAATTCCCACATATATGAGGCTGATGAGGAGCATGTTTAAAATCTACTAGTAGGAAGCTAAGGATTAGCTCGACTTCAAAATTTCTCCCGGTTAAAACCAGGGTGGTGAGACTGGTGACTGGCGAGGTTATACAACTCCATTAGCTCAGGGTCCCTGATAAGTTTAAGGCGGCCCTGAACTTAGAGTGTGACAGCGACCAATTAACTACATGCATTTATTTTGTAACTATATTACTGTATATAATCTTGCTTTTAATTCTTACATTACTTGTCCATGATTCATGATTGTATATATATTAATCTAAAACTTGTATGTACTGTCATACAAATCTCAAGTCAAACTTCTCTTTCTTTTAATTATTTAAGATCATTTGGGGAAGAACAGAAAGAAGAATGGAGGTTCATCTTCCTAATTTTCCAAAAGATTTTAATGCGTCAGATTTTATCCCTAATCTTTACTCTGCAAAAACCATTTTGGGTATTTTTGCTGCTGCTTCAATTGCTGTTTTCTGCTTCACATGGATTCTCTCAGGTATTATTTTTTTTCTACTCGATTTACTCTGTTTATATTCTAGCATCACGCCTCCTTAGATAAAATTTTGGTTCATATAGCCGACTATCATTGGGATTAAGGTTCTACTTCTTGTTATTGATTTACTCCTTCAATATATAGTAATTACTTCAAATGATTTAATCTTTGTTGATGGGTTATTTGTTTTGTTATCTAATAAGGGGAACAAGTGTAAAAAGGAAACAATCGAATGTGAAACATAGTAAAAACTCCGTAACATAAACGAATGGATATAGTAGTTGTTATTGTTGATTGATCTAACAAGTAACAACATGTCTGTAATTCTACAAGGACAAGACTGGATCCATTTTCGCCGAATTATGTAATTCTCTTGCTCATATCAATTAATTCAACTCCTTCAGTTAGTTTAAAGGGTGATTATTCTCACTTCACTATAATTCGACTACATTACCTTTTTTTTTCTTTTCGATTTGCTAATATTTTTGATTTTATAGGGAAAGAGTACAGCAAGGGTGATTCCAGATATTTGTCTCTTGATTCAACAACAATAGCTCTTGAAGCAATTTCAATCTTCGTATTTGGTCCAACCAACCTATTAGCTGCGTAAGTAACAATTAAGCAACATTTATCTTCTATCTGCTACGTAGTATACTTCTGTGGGTGTGGTCGTATGGAGCGGATAGTTTTATTATTGTCTATTATTAATGCCGTGTTTTTAAACAGACTTTCACTATAACTAACTTAAAAACTCATGCATTAGCACGGGCACATGCTAGTTTCATCAATTAGTTAAATATTATATAATGTAGGCTAATTTAAAATGAGCGTATCAAATGGATGAAGTTAGTCTTAGCACGATATATGTCGTATTTTCTTGATGGTATGATGGGACAAATGGACAAAAATTCAATTTAATATTACCCGTTATTGTGGCTCCCTAAAAAAAAACAAAACCCATTCTAGTCCAACTTTGTAGGTTGGATCCTTCTTTGAGGAGCTCAAGGCAGAGGAAAGGATAGGGAAATATGAACACATGCATTCTTAGTAATTTTAACTTTGATAGATTCCTAGTCGCGATGAACTTGATTCGAATAATGCAATGAACCAACTAGACTGAGCTTTGCTACTGAGTAATTCTTAATGGTATAGTCGTATGGTAGTTAGAGGTGTTAATTTGACCAGAAACCTAGGTCGAGGGGCTAACATTTGCGACTGTAAGAGGAGCAGGGCACGAAGTGCCGTTGTTCAAACCATGCTTTTATATATCCATGCTTTTATAGGATATCATTGCGTCCGGAGGGACTGATACAAATGCTGTTGTCTTTGATCGACCTTCTGGACAGATTGTATCTACACTAAGTGGTCATTCAAAGGTCTTTCTTATGCGTGGTTTTGCAATGCAAAAGCCATATGGACTAGTAAATGTTAAACTATTTACACTTCATTGCATTTTTTTGCAGGTTACCAGCATTAAGATTGTTCCACAGGATGAAAGTTCAGTTATAGCCGGATCTGCAGACAAGGTACTATTCTATCAGTTGTGATACACACCCTTTAAGCATACATTACTTCATAAGTGCAGAGAGTCTCTTACAGTCATTTTATTAATGTAACATGTATTGCTTTAACTTTCAGTGATTTTATTGTTGTATAATTTTCTATTACGAGATTTTTTTTCTTTTTTTCTTGCACTTTAATCTTTTTTCAATTGTATCCTTCAATTTCTGATTTTTTTGTTGCCATTCTGATTGGAAGACACTGTAGTTGTGTGACTTGTTGAAACTGCAATTAGTTTAGTGCTTGTGACAGTGTTTAAATTTCACTGCTTTGTAGTTGTCTTCCCTTAGCTTTAATCCTTCAATTCATTTTTCCTCTTTAATTTTTTGTTTCTTTCTATTAATTGGTTATTATTTTTAAATCCCTCCCTCCTTTGGCTCCCATTTGTTAGCTAACTTCTATAAAGCTGCGTTTATTTGTGATAGAAGTATTTTGTGATTTTTGTTTGGGTGAGTAGTTAGCTCCAGGAGATGAATATTAGAATTTCTTCGTTTAAAAACAGAAATTGATTAAGGTATTATTTAACATAATGTAATAGACTAACCCAGGGGTGGAGCATTATAGAAAATGACAATAGAATTCTGTTATGAGGTAGCTTGGGGAGTAATTTGAGAATAAATTATAGTAGAGAAGGAAAGAAAGCAGATTATACATATATAGTAGTGATCAAGGAGATTGAAAAGAATCAGAAAATTGCTGAGTGGATTTTACTTTGTTTTTAGCCTGTAGTTAGGAAGTCTAGCCATTTGGAGGTCTGGGATTGTAGGTGCGATATGATTTTTTAATCTTATCCGATTCCGATCAATTTTTAAAACTTTCCTAAAGTCTCTGCTTATTCGTTTATTCTGTATATCCATTTCTTTGCTTTACTACACTTATGAATTTCACTATATCACATTAGCTACACTGCCCTATTGAAATATTAGTCCTGGCAATAATTTTTGTCATATCACCATCCTTGTATATTTAGGTTTATTTGACATTCTGGCCTTATTTGGTTCTTCAACTCCAGAATTACTCATCTTGCTATCTTAGTTGGTCTGTCATGCTTCCAAGCTATCTGAAAATGAAAAACGTTGATAATTATATGATACTGTTTAGATGTCTAGAAAACAGTTTGGCAGGAACATTGCTTCGATTTGGCTTGCGATAGTTGGCTTCATCTTGGGTCATTTTTTAACAATTCAAGCCCAGACTTGTTCTTTATTGAGCCAAATATTTTAATATGTTCCATTTTTAACAATTCTAACCTAATGTTTGTTTATCCAAGTTTTGCAAGGTACAGAAAGGAGGTCCATTGACGAGCAAAGAACTTAATGAAGTTCGAAACATGTTGGCGTCTTTCTTCACATTTACTTTAATTTAAAATTGTTAACTACATTAATAATTAGTATTGTTTGTACATGAGACACTTTTTTTTTTTTTACAAGGAGTTGTAAATATATGGCACTTTATTGTATTGCATTTGTGATTATTAATTAATATCTATGTATTGTTATTATTTCAATTTAGAAATTTTTATTATTATTATTAGTATTATTAATAATATTATAATAATAATAATAATAATAATAATAATAATAATAATAATTATTATTATTATTATTATTATTATTGTTACTATAATATACATTGATGGTAGAATTAATGCAGGATGTGCAGGTTATTATTAGTATTAATATAATTAATTAATAGCCAAAAAAAAAAAAAGGTTTTTTGCACCGGTTCACAGTAAGAATAGGTGCCTAAAGTGTTTAATGTTTAAGGCGCGCAGTACTTTAGGCACCGGTTCTGGTCAAAAATCGGTGCCTAAAGTTAGGTTTTTTTGCACCGGTTCTGCAAAAAGGCAGATTTCGCACCGATTTTAAACCGGTGCGAAATGTTTGGGGTTTTAGCACCCCCCAAATCCAGACCGGTTCAAAACCGGTGCTATAGGGGGGGGGGGGTTTGAACCAGTGCGTTTTATGTATTTTCGCCTAGTGTTATTCACTCACATGGAGGGAGAGGTTGAAAGATGATAATGATATCACACCTGAGAAAGATGGGTGGTATCATCTTTTTTTGATACATGTGCCTAAATTTCTAACCAGGAGGGTTATGTATGGTCCAGGTGTGGGATTCTATACTGATACAGAATCTGAGGGGGGACCACATCATTAGGTAGTTATATGTCTGCTGACTCAGTTGCCACATCATCGGATAAGGAAAGGGTATCTGTTGGGGGTGAGTCACAGTCAGCTCAAAGTGATGACATAGGACAGAAAAAGAGTGGATTAAAGGAGGGAGCACATGCTAATGAATGCAGGAACCCTAGATCTGGAAATATAAGCCCACCCATTCCCATTTCTTCCTCCATCCCTGTCTTGAACATAAATGCAACTGCTGCCTCTCAACCCAGCCCTTCTTCAACCCAGAACAAAAAAAAAAGGAAGCTGGTCCTGAAATACACTCAACAACCAGTTGTTTCTCTTGACTCCATTCCAGAAGTAGGTGAAGAGAATCCTGCTATTCACTGTGATGGGGATGAGGATGATGATGTGGTTTTGAGTGATCTTTATTTTGAAGATGAAAGTGATGATGACCTGTTTGCTGCCAATGTTGATGAGGAGATAACTGAAGATGTGAATAGAAGTTTGGTGAGTATTCATACTAGGCAGCAGAACAGTCATAGAGGTGATGACCAAGGTGAAGTACAAGTTGAAGATGATGATGACTTGAATGATAGTCAGGATGAGTTGGATAGTCAAGCTGGTTCAGATGATGAAGAAGTTAGGTACCCTGTTTTTAACCCTGATGTTGACTTCAAGAGTAAGATTAACCTTACTGCTGGGTTGAAATTTGCTTCACATAAGGTGTTTAGAAAGGCATTAAGACACCATGCAATAGAGAATGGATACAGTTACATGCTTTTGCACAACAAGAGTAAGAGGATAACTGTGTACTGTGCTAAAAGGTGTGCATGTAATTTTGTCTTTGGAAAAATTTTTGCATGTCATTGTCCAACTAGAAGGAAGTGTTTGTTTAGGATACATGCTAAGAAATTGAAAGATGAGGAGACTTTTCAAATTAAAAGTCTTATGCTGGAACATAAATGTGGGCATTAGCATGTAAATACACATGTTACTAGTGAGTATCTGGCCTGAGAGGTATTTGGAGGATTGGAGGGATGACCCCACATATAAAATGAGTGCTTTCATGAAGAGAGTGAGAAGAAAATTAGGTGTAGAACTTGGGTATTACAAGTGTTATTATGCAAAAAAAATGGCATTGCAAATGATTCATGGGAATGCAGCAGAGGAGTACAAGAGAGTATGGGATTATGTTGAAGCAATCAGGAGGTACAATCCAGGTAGCACTGCAGTTGTGAAGCTACAAAACATAGACAACCCTCCACCAATTTTCCAGAGGATGTACATTTGCTTGCAACCATGTAAAGAGGGATTCATGGCTAGTTGCAGGCCCATTTTAGGTGTGGATGACTGTCATCTAAATGGACCTTGGCCTGGGATTTTGCTTACTGCTATTGCTAAACATGGTAACAACAATATTTTCCCAGTTGCTTCGGCTGTTGTAGAAACAGAGAGCTCAGAAACCTGGACTTGGTTTCTTGAGTTGCTGGTCAATGACATACGCTCTGTTGCTGCATCAGTGACTTGGGTGCATGAGCATGAAGATCCAGTTACCTTCATGAGTGACAGACAAAAGGTAACTTCAATGCTTTCATGAAATTGAGTGAGGATTGTTCTGTGCCAATTATTAACATTGCACTGTGCCAATAATTGCAGGGCCTGCTTGATGCTTTCAACACAGTTATCCGAAATGCAAAAACAAGGTTTTGTTGCTGACATATTTGGGCAAACTTTAAGCTCGAATTCCCAGGCCAGATATACAAAGAGAGCTTCCGGAAGGTTGCAAGGAGTTCTACTAAGGTGTGTATGTCTTACTAGTTTGTTTCCTCCACTTGAATTTAAAGCTCAAACTTTATACATGTACTTATGATCAGTTTTTTTTCCATTCAGCATCAATTTGACAAACCTATGCAAGAGATTAGGAAGTTGAGTGAGGATGCTTTTCAATATCTTTCTGAGATACCAGTTTGTCACTGGTCTAGACATGGCTTTAGTCATAGGGCAAAGTTAGGGATGCTGCTAAACAACTGCTGTGAAAGTTTCAACAATGTCCTTCGGGAAGCTAGGACAAAGCCAATCTTGTCTTTAATGGAGTGGATCAGAAGATATGTCATGAAGAGAAGTTGTGCTAAGAGAGAAGGCTTGAAAGATTTTGAAGGTTTAATCATGCCATCAGTTGTGAAGGTGATTGAGAGAGGGCAGAAACAGATTTGGAACATGAGAATAATTCAAGCAGATTTGCATGAATTTGAGGTGGATGATGAATAAGAGACATTTGTTGTTAATCTTGAAAACAAGACTTGTGGCTGCTATAGGTGGACTTTGATGGGTATCCCATGTTGGCATGCCTTAGCTTGCATAGCCAAAAGAAGACTCAACTATGAAGATTTTATACACCCAGCCTATCACATTGCCACTTATGCTGCTACATATGCTCCAGCATTTCATGCAATGCCAGGACATAACCAATGGGGTGATTCTGATAGGCCTCAGCCTCAGCCCCTGTTTACAGAGCCATGCCAGGTAGACCCTCTAAAAAGAAAAGGAAGAAAGCACAGGGAGAGGGAACAGGTAAGAATATGAAGAGAGCAAGGAAGCCAAACACATGTGCCAGATGTGGTGGTAAAGAGCACAATGCCAGGAAAAGTTTTAGGCCTCTAAAACCACCACCTGCTGAAAACAAAGGTGGTAGGCCTAGGAAGCAAAAAGGGGTAGCAACCTCAACAGCACAAACATCTACTGCAGCAACCGACCCCTCACAGCAGCCACAATTACAGTCACTGTCTCAAGGTCCACCTCTGTCTCAGGCATCAACACAGCCTTCCCAGCCAACAGGTACTCCAGCTGCATCAAGTCAAGCAAAGGGCAAAGAAAAGGTCCCTGTTGCTAAGCCCAGGAAGCAGAAGACCACCTCAATGAGTAGGATACTGCAGGGATCAACTTCTAAGTCTTAGTTGTGCTAGCTTAAATTAGCTTTCATGTTTTGTATGTCACTTATGTGTATGTGACTTTTATGTTTATGTATGGACATGTTAACAGCATTTTGGAACTTGGGTAGCCTTTTGGAACTTATGTGTTGTATTTTGAATGCTCTGGAATGAATTAAACAAGAATATTGAAGCATTTTAGTTCCAAATATGTGTTCATTTCATTTCTCATTGATAATAATATGGTTCATTACAAATTTCCAACTAAGAACAACCAAATTGGTTCATTACAAATTTCCAACTAAGAACAACATGCCTAAACAACTAATACAACCTTTAACCAAACAGTTTCACAACTAATGTACTAGCCAACACTGATACAATTGCACACAACACTAGCAAGATGAACAACTGATCATTACTAATCACACCATCACCGACCCTGTTTGCAATTGGATGTCTAGGCATTTGCTGAACTTGCTCAATCAGTCTTCTGTTCTCATGCTCCAAACATGTCACTCTTGCCTTTAGGACATTTTGGTCGGTGGCCATCCTGTGTTTCTCAGCCAACAACACATTTATCACATCCTTCTGCCAATTAACCATGTCAGTTACACCTCTTTATTAATTGCGCAACTACAATGAACAACAAACAAAGAAAAATTTCAATTTCCAAAAGTAAACTTGAAATTGATGTGGGATTGCCACCTTACCCTTGTTCGACTCGCGTTAAATGCCTTCAATTGGCCTTCAATTGTAGTTTCTGGGTTAAGAATTGAAGTTTTCTTCTCAAATTAGGGTTAATAAGGGAGGGAAATTGTAGGGGAAAGGGGAAATCGAGGAAGAAGAGGGAAAGGGAAAAAAAGAAAAAACAAAATCATTTAAGAGGTCACGTGACCGGCATGTGGCATTTTATGGCCGGAATATAAAGGTCAACGCCGGAGTTTGATCAAAGGACCCTCCTCACAACTAAAACACCATAAAAGGGCCTTCTGTGCCACTTTTTTTTTTTTAAAGGACCTTCCTTGCAATTTTTCCTAATAATAATAATAATAATAATAATAATAAAAAGAACAATAATAATATAAAAAACATAAATATAAATTAATAAAAT